TTTCTGGTGCCTGCTTAAAAGTTTTTCTGTTTAGGCAAGCCATTCTAAACATGTGAAGCTTTCTTCTTAGCATCAGATGTTAAGGAAATTAAACAACTATCTGACTTTTAGAAGAAATCTGAAGGCAGCCCTGTTTAGGGAAGTTTTTAATGTTTTGATGTTTTATTGCTTTCTTCTTCTTCTTCTTCTCTTCTTCTTCTTCTTCTTCTTCTTCTTTTCTTCTTCTTCTTCTTCTTCTTCTTATCCTGTTGGGAGCCACCCAGAATGGCTGGGGAAACCCTGCCAGATGGGCTGGGTATAAATAAATGATGATTATTATTACAGTGGTACCTTGGGTTATATACGCTTCAGGTTACATACGCTTCAGGTTACAGACTCCGCTAGCCCAGAAATAGTGCTTCAGGTTAAGAACTTTGCTTCAGGATGAGAACAGAAATCGTGCTCTAGCAGCGCAGTGGCAGCAGGAGGCCCCATTAGCTAAAGTGGTGCTTCAGGTTAAGGACAGTTTCAGGTTAAGTACGGACCTCCGGAACGAATTAAGTACTTAACCCGAGGTAACACTGTATATAGATGAACCCTTGGCCTGATTCAGCACTATGTACAGATTCCGGTTGGGAATTATTATTATTATTTGATAAATTTATTATCTGGCCTTCACCCTAATGCATAGAAGAGAGGACCTTCTTTTGAGTCAGAGCAAGAGGAACAGTGCATGAAGAAGGGACCATGGGTCTACTCCATCCTTCCTCAGCCTGGTTGCCTCTAAATGCTTGGAATTCCAATTCCCATCATCCCTGGCTTGGAGCTGATGGGAGTTGTAGTCCCTAATGTCTGGAGAGCACCCAGTTTTGCAAGGCGGGATTATAGCGCTGGAGCATATGCTCAGCAAGCAACAAGCCACTCAGCTTTCTGTCTCCGGCACTTACGTCTGGGTCAAAGAGAAGCTGGCAGAGCTTACCGTAAACCCAGCAAACCAGATTATAAAACTAGCTAAGCACAGCAGGAAGCACGAGCGTCTCTCTCCCCCCCCCCCGCCCTCCACGATGCACCACCTGTCTCACGATGCCTGCGGGATAGGCAATTGCAGCTCCCCCCCCCGCCTGAGGCGCGACAAGGTGAAAGGCAATTGGGCCACGTCGTAAGACACAAGGGATGCTGTTTAGTTTGGCTGTTGCTTCATCTGCATGGGATTCCTGACAGGTATCTCATGCTCTTTGCTCATGTAATTTTATTATTTTCTGCAGGGTGGGAGGAGGTACGGTATAAGCAATTAATTTTAATTAAAAGATTGGCTGTGTGGCGGAGGGGGGCTGATGCGCGAGCGCTGGGGGTGAGGAATTGCAGGTAATTTCGAGTTGTTTGCCTTGGCTTGTTTCCCTGTGCTATTTCAGCTAATTGTCATTATTTAGTCATTTGTTGCTACGGCGACAGCAGATCACTTCAGGTTGCCAAGTCTCTTAGTACAGGCTCAAACAAGGCACTTGAGGCGGCGGGGGGGGGCGCACGATATTTCTCTTTCCCCTCCAGCTTGCCCAAAGAAACCTGAGGCCCTGCGTATTGGGAAATCATCCAACCTTCCCTTCTTGAGAACTAACTCCTCGCCCTCTGCGACTCCTGGAAAGTTACAAGTTCCAGAACTGAGACCCAAATTGCCAAAGAGCAGCCAGGCCATCCCATTTTAATGGAACATGGGATATTCATTTGAGGGGTGTGTCTGCAGCCCTCCAGATGTGGTCGAACTCCAACTCCCATCACCCCCAACCAGCTCAGCCAATGGTCAGGGCAAGGGATCATAAACCAACATCTGGAGGCTTGCTTTACCCAGACTTAGCTTCATCAGGGCTGGGGAAGCTTGGGTCCTCCAGATGTTACTGGATTACCCCTCCCATCAACCCTGACCAGCCTGGCCAATACTCTCAAGCTAATGGGCCAAAGATTCTCAACCCCTTATCCAGATGTTGGTTGGGGGGTTCTTATGTGTACACCCCATATAGCCCATCCCTACTGGTGTTCGGATGGACATCTCCCCATTGCAAGGAAAATAAGAGGAAATTCATCACGGGAGAAGGATAATATTATAATAATAAAAAAATTATTTATACCCACCCTCCTGGTTCAGGAAAACTGGGCTCAGGGCGGCTAACAACAAATTTAAAACACTTAATTGTCATACAACAAAAACAGCATAAATACAGTATAAAAGCATGAATAACAATAAATTCAAAGCAGGTATGATGTCTGGCAGATGCAATTTATGTGTATCAAGGTAGAAATAAGTTTCAGCATCGTCAAGAGGAATGTGACCAGGAAACTCGTGCACCTGCTCTGTCTGCTGTCCAGGCATTATTTACAGGCAACTTCAAGGTCCCCTTTCACATTTATTTATAAACTTGACTCGGACCAGAAAGCCCTTCAAATAGAGGGCTGTACTCTGCAAAGTAAGACAGGTGAGATGAGACAATTCCATAGCCTTATCAAGGGCTGTTGGCCATGACCATCCCCTGAAAACAGGGACATTTCTCACTCCCCCACAATTGACGTTCCTCGATCCCTCGACCCCCCCCCCGAGAGCATTGCTTCTCAGAAGAACGGCAAGTACCACTGTCACTACACCAATGGGACATAGCACATACCCCCTCCACCGTCCTGAGCAAACCCCTTAATCCCAATTTTATTTTATTTTATTCTTTGGTAGATTTACAAAAAGGAAAAAGGAAAGAAAAACACACACCAATACATAAATCTTAGTGCTTTAGTCCTTTTTCATGATGCATCCACGATGTTTTTGTACTCATCACGGTATGGGGTTGGTTATACACGATTTGATGTGGCTTTCAATACTGTTTGCATCTGAACATTTTTCAGGGACAGACTTGCCCCTTCGTTTCCCATCAGTGCATGCCCTGTAGCTTCCTGCTGAAATCCTGTAACTTTTTGCACCACAAATGCCATCTTCTTGGTGTTTTGCCCTGCTTTTGTTGATCTCTAGTGCAATAGTGCCCAGAGTACAATAGCCCTTGGGGAAGCGCCACAGAAACCTGAGGCTCTGTGTATTGGGAAATCGTCCAATCTTCCCTTCTTGAGAGCTAACTCCTTGCCCTCTGCGACTCCTAGGTAAAGGGACCCCTGACCATTAGGTCCAGTCATGGCCAACTCTGGGGTTGCGGCGCTCATCTCGCTTTATTGGCCAAGGGAGCCTGCGTACAGCTTCCAGGTCACGTGGCTAGCATGACTAAGCCACTTCTGGCAAACCAGAGCAGCGCACGGAAACGCCATTTATCTTCCCGCCAGAGCGGTACCTATTTATCTACTTGCACTTGACGTGCTTTTGAACTGCTAGGTTGGCAGGAGCTAGGACCAGCAACGGGAGCTCATCCCGTTGCGGGGATTCGAACCGCTGACCTTCTGATCGGCAAGCCCAAGAGGCTCAGTGGTTTAGATGTTTACAGAACAGCATGCAGAACTCTACAGCACTGGAAATAGGAATCACAAGCAGCAATTTTTTTAAAGCATTAGACACAATTTTTCCTATATTGCAGTTTAGCTAAATTATTCAAGGATGCCCCAACTCCATCTATATCCAGAGCCTAGGAGCCAACAGAGTACTGTGTGCTGTTAATAGTTCTTGAATGCATCTGGGAGCCAGGTCTCAAGGTACATAGTCTGAGTCAGCATGGACCTGCTCTTAGTTAAGACCTATTATGACACAACCTTGATGGCAGAAAGTGAGGAGGAATTAAAGGACTTTTTATTGAAGGTGAAAGAGGAGAGCGCAAAATATGGTCTGAAGCTCAACATAAAAAAAACGAAGATTATGGCCACTGGGCCCATCACCTCCCTGGCAAATAGAAGGGGCAGTGAGAGATTTCACTTTCTTGGGCTCCATGATCACTGCAGATGGTGACAGCAGCCACGAAATTAAGAGACGCCTGCTTCTTCGGAGGAAAGCAATGACAAACCTAGACAGCATCTTAAAAAGTAGAGACATCACCTGCCAACAAAGGTCCGTATAGTAAAAGCTATGGTTTTCCCAGTAGTGATGTATGGAAGTGAGAGCTGGACCATAAAGGAGGCTGATCGCCGAAGAATTGATGCTTTGAATTATGGTGCTGGAGGACACTCTTGAGAGTCCCATGGACTGCAAGAAGATCAAACCTATTCATTTCTTATGGAAATCAGCCCTGAGTGCTCACTGGAAGGACAGATCGTGAAGCTGAGGCTCCAGTACTTTGGCCACCTCATGAGAAGAGAAGACTCCCTGGAAAAGACCCTGATGTTGGGAGAGATGGAGGGTACAAGGAGAAGGGACGACAGAGGACGGGATGGTTGGACAGTGTCTTCGAAGCTACCAGCATGAGTTTGACCAAACTGCGGGAGGCAGTGGAAGACAGGAGTGCCTGGCGTGCTCTGGTCCAGGGGGTCACAAAGAGTCGGACACGACTAAACGACTAAACAACAACATTCTTCAAAGAGGTTCACCTGCTCTTTTGTTTCATGACCCTACCCCCTCTTCTTCTGCAACATTTGTAATCTCAGATAATTCCAGCTATACAGCTGGAAGAACCCTCAGTACTCCGCTGAAGACTGAACCTAGAAACAGAGGATATACTACTCTGGCGTTTGGTCTTCCTTCCTCATAGGTTCCAGGAAACATCCCACAGATTTCAGTGCATTAAAAACAGGAAGGGGAAGTATGACTTGACGCTCTGGAGCACTCTTGCTTTTATGCTTTGTGACATGTAAAAAGTTCAGATTAATAATCATCTTCCCATGTTGCTGTAGCTATAATAGCCTGCAGAATTTAATCAGGGGTCAGCAAACTTTTTCAGCCCTTGAGGGGGCGTGGACTATATGGGGGGGGGAATGAATGAATTCCTATGCCCCACAAATAACTCAGAGATGCATTTTAAATAAAAACACACATTCTACTCATGTAAAAACACGCTGATTCCTGGACCGTCCATGGGGCCGGATTTAGAAGGCGATTGGGCCGTATCCAGTCCCCGGGCCTTAAGTTGCCTACCCATGAATTAATCCCTTCCACCCTTCATTTTTAAACATATGTGGCTACTGGATGAATATAAACCAAGGGTACCCTAACCTCCTATGGTTCCCGCAAATGATCTCAGTAAATATCCTCTCAAAAATCTACAATGCTTGAGAGATGATTTGCTCTTTCTGCCCAGTTCCTGTTTGCATTGGCTTGGCTTCTACTACACTGAACACACACTCTTATAAGCCTGCCCATCTTTTATTACATGTCAAGGCTGTGACATGGTCTGAGCAAAGGAAAGATGCAGAGAGCTTCTCTCTGGGAGTGAGCACAGTGTTGGCTGATGTAGGTGCCTTTTTCCCAGCGGGGCGGAAGGAGACATGCCTGTACCATTTTGGGGTACTTTCCTTTTCTGCTTTTTTATATTTGGCAGCCATTTTGTGTTATGCTGCCTTGCATACAGCTGTCTCTGTACATCTGCATATCTGTATCCATATAGCCACACCACAACTTTAGCAAAGTTCGCTTACCTTTGCCATGGCAACTACTGCTGAATTGAAACATTAAAAAGCAGGCAAACAGAACAGGCACGTCTCCATACTAGCTAACTGCATGTGTGGGATAGCTCATAACATCTATCCACAGAGGCTTTTAATCCATATTCCATTAAACTACGTCATTAAGCAAGTCCATTTCAGTTCTTTCTGCCAACTTGGGGAGAAGGAAGAGATCTTACCTTTTTCTCTAGGAGAATCAGCTTAAAAAGTATTAAGACCTTCAAAACAAAGAGACACAAATCTTAAACAACAGAAATAGGTATGCATATTAATATTTCTTGATATCATTTCCATTTGACACTTCAGAAATGCACAATAAATATTTGAACAAATGATTTCATTTGCTTTTATAACTTGGCTTTTTTTTTTTAAATTCTCAAAGGACTCAAAAGGTTCAATCAACCAATTAAACAACTCATAGTAGCAGCACAGATGAGACACTATATATTTCTAGGTTTAGGCCCAGATACGGGGCAGAAATGGCTTTGGTCATCCTAGTGGATGACTTACAATGAGAACCAGACAAGATCACAACACGATTCATTTTCTTAGACCTCTCAGTGGCATTCAGTACCATTAACCACGGTATTTTCTGGGTTGTGCAGCTGGATTGGAAAGGGGAGGAATGGTACTACATCGGCCCTAGTCCCTTCTGGAGGTTTGGTCCCAGAATATGATACTGGATGATTTCTCTTGTAGCCTATACCTCTGGCTTCTGGAGCCCCTAAAGATTCTATTCTGTCCCCCATGCTGTTTATCTTCTAAGTCAAACCATTGGGTGAAATCACCCAGAAGCTTGAGCTCAAATTGGAGATGATGCCAAGCTCCGCTTCTCTTTTCCACCTGTCAATCTCAGGGAGGCTGTGGAAATCCTAAATAGGTGTCTGGAGACAGTCCTGAGGTGGATAAGGGTGAATAAACAGAAACTCAGGCCAAATAATATACAGGTGCTATGCTTAGGGAAACAAGCTGATCTGGACACAGGGGTACAACTGCTGTTTGATGGGCCTTGACGTCCCTGAAGGACCAAGTTTGTGGTTTCTCTTGGGCTCAGCACTATTTTTGGAAGTACAAGTGCCTTTTTTCCAGGGGAAACCGGGACGCCACCTGTGACCCTATCTAGAGGGACTGGACCTTGTTTCAGTAATCCATGTGGTGATCACATCCAAGGTAGATACACTGTACATGGGGCTGCCTTTGAAGATGATTTAGAAATGTCAGCTGTTGAGTTTGATTGCTAGTGGGTGCAAGTTGATCAGAGCACGTGACACCAATTCCGGGCCATGTTTAAAGTGCTGGTTTTGATATTTAAGGTCTCAAATGGTTTGGGGCCATGTTACCTGAAGGCCGTCTACATCAGTACAAGATCTGCCTTGAAAGGAAGCTGCCTCAGACAAGGTCAGGTCTTTTGTCCATCCAGATCAGTGTTGTAAATACTTACTGGGAGAAGCTTTCCATGTTTTTAGGGAGGGGACCTGGGACCTACTGTATGCAAAGCAGATCTTCTACCAATGAGCTACAACCCTTCACTATTAAGTATCACATCCAGCCCAAACGAACTAAGCCAACTATCAACCACAGAATAGTAACCTTTACAAACTGAGCGGTCTTAATACATTTGAGAATGAATTCCCCTAATAAACCTTGCTGGAGCAGATGCATCTTCACTGTTTGTCAAAAGCAGAGCAAAGGCAGAAGTAGATGTACCTCCTTCAGGATTCACATCAGGAAGAAACATACCTTGTGTCTAAACTGAAGGACAAGATCTCGTGGAGACAGGCCTAAAAGTAGGGACAGCAAAACAATTAGCACACCTTAGTAAGAACCACCAACCCTTCCTGCTTATAAATGTGGAGAAACCTGCTGGCAGCAGGATTAAAAGATTTTATACTATTTTCCCAGCACTTAGGGGCAAAGAATCTGTGGGAGCTTACATGGTTCATTGATCACAAATGCAAATTGGATTTTAACTACCAATAATAGTTGACTGCCTTCTCCCATTAAAGCCAGGAGGAAGGAACATTATCTGGCCCTTCTCCTATTAATAGGCCTTTAATAAGCCACTCATTACTTTTGAATAAACATGATTTTGAAAAAGCATCTGAGCAGCTCTCCTCACCCAGCAGCGAGAATGACAAGCATTCTATGTAAAAGGAGAAAAGTGACAGGTTTATCTAGCCCCGTGACTGATGGGGAAAGTAATCACAATAATTAGTACATTATTTAGGCGCGCGCAGACTTGGCATTAGACTTTAGTACCAATAAAGTGCTTTAGGAAATGAAAATTGAACAGTTGTGTTATTTAGTAAATATTGCTTACCGAGATAAACTTGTGATCCTTCCAGGGGGCTTCCTCCCAGCGAGCTATTCATATGCTCATAAAGTTCCTGAAAAGCCATAAATTTTGAAAGCATTAAAAACACTTTCTAAAGGCATCTACTAGAAAATAAATGAAAAGGCTTCATACAGCATGGATCTGCCAAAATACTATGCTACGAAGAAGATTCTTGGCATTTTTTTTAATGAGTCACTAAATGCACAGACATCGATCCAATGGACTCCCAGAGGCTTCAGCTGGAATCCAGAGATCCTTTGGTAGAACCCAGAGTGGCTGTAAACCCAACGGGATCTTTGACCCTTTTTAATGTGCTATACCACCAATGGCATTTGAAAACCCTCTCATTTGCAATGGGGAAAAGCACTGGTTGAGAAAAACAACACATAGCTCCTCTGGGCTCATTCTAGGACAGCCTTTCTCAACCGTGGATCCCCAGATGTTCTTGAACTACACCCTGACCACTGGCCATGCTGGCTAAGAATGATAGGAGTTGTAGTCCAACGATACCTGGGGACCCAAGGTTGTGAAAGGCTGATCTTGGAATATAGGGCATTGCCTTAAACTGAGCCAGACCCCCTCGTTTACCTAGCTCAGTATTGGCTACACCAGGGATGGGCAGAAAGTAGACTGGGTCCTACCTAATAGATCCCTGGGTAATTTTCAATAGATCAACAAGCATTTCTGACTCACAACTATTAAGCAAAGGTAGCAACAAAAAATGGCTCTTTGCTGAAATGAAGAAAGCTGGAGTAACCAGGAATGGACTTTGGTGGGGAAGGACTGTGAGCTTCTGGGCCCAGTGGCGTAGCGTGGGGGGTGCAGGGGGGCCGGCCGCACCGGGCGCAACATCTGGGGTTAGGGCAAATCCACAGGTTAGGGGGCGCAAATCCACGGGTTAGGGGGCGCAGATTACTTGCCTTGCCCCGGGTGCTGACAACCCACGATACGCCACTGTCTGGGCCTCAAAAGTAAACCAACCTCAGGGTCAGAATTCTAAGTGTGTGCCTTTTTTGCAGCAGGTGGAGCTCAGGGTGACAGCAAGAAAACCCCAAGGATACCACAAGGCTGACCACCCCTGGGTCTTAACCAGTGGTAGCTAACATAGTCCACTTGAGATACTGTTGGACTCCAACTTCCATCCAGCTGGTATGGTCCGTGTCCAGGGATTATGGGAATTAAGTTCATCAGCATCTGGAAAGCACAACATTCACATCCCCTGGTCTATTTTCTTTATTTCATAAAAAGAATATACCGCTTGATTTAAACGCACGTGCACCCACCCCTCAAAGTGGTTTGCAAAAAGATAAAACAAGAAAATCAAGAAAAAGAAACCTTCTGAATGCAAATAATGTAAGCTAAGAGCCTTTTTTTCTATCCTGGATGTGGACTCCAGTGAGTTCACCTATCTCTCAGTCTGCATGGGCTTCCCCATTTGCTTCAAGGGAAAGGAAAGCTATGCAGGTAGAAATGAAGGAAGGGTGACTTTAAAGTTTAGGAATCAACTAGATAATAATGAAGGCCCTCTATGGTTCACAGATCAGTATCACACAAGAGTTTGCATTTCTATACAGAAACACTTACCTTAAGTATTGAAATTTGTGAGAAGTCTTTTTCTTCAAAGTAGGCATGTGTAATTAGCTGCAGCTTAGCCTGGAGTAGCCCATACAGAGGCTTGAAAGGAAAACACATCATCATGTTACATCAAGAAAGGCAGGCACACAGTCAAGGACAAAAACAGCTACCCTTCAAAGCAAATTACACATATTGATCTCAAATTGATGACAAATTACACATACATTAGGTAACAGTTTATTTGTAACAATTGACTATGTCAGTCATCCTGCTGTCAAAATGAGCAATAGTTTATTAATGTGATAGTGTTCCTATCTGATCAGAGTAGTGTAGTAAAATACAGGCAAAATTGGGCTGCCTTGCTCCATTTGTTTTTTTTTTATAAATTTTTATTGGTTTTACAAAATTTTAAAAACAAACAAACACTTAAAAAGACATACAAACACGCATAATTTCATATTGTTTCTCATAACCCTCTTTTCTGGGACTCCCCCATACCCCCCCCTTTCTGCATCCCAATGTCCATAGTTTTATAGCAACTCCCAATATTACTTTCCAACCTCTGTCCTTAGTTATCTCTATAATCTGACCTTATATCGCTGTATCCCTTTGTTTCTGAAAACCATAACATTCTAACATTCATCAAGTTTATAATAGTCCATAAGATAACTTTTAAATTTTCTCCATTCTTCTTCCACCGTCTCTTTTCCTTGGTCACGGATTCTGCCTGTCATCTCGGCCAGTGACATATAGTCCATCACTTTCATCTGCCATTCTTCCAGAGTGGGTAAGTCTTGTGTCTTCCAGTACTTTGCGATAAGTATTCTTGCTGCTGTTGTAGCGTACATGAAAAAGGTTCTATCCCTCTTTGGCACCAATTGGCCGACAATGCCTAAGAGAAAGGCCTCTGGTTTTTTAAGAAAAGTACTTTTAAGTACCTTTTTCATTTCATTATAGATCATTTCCCAGAAAGCCTTAATCTTCGGGCATGTCCACCAAAGGTGATAAAAGGTTCCTTCAGTCTCTTTACATTTCCAACATTTGTTATCGGGCAAATGGTAAATTTTTGCAAGCTTGGCTGGGGTCATGTACCACCTGTAAATCATTTTCATTATGTTTTCTCTTAAGGCATTGCATGCCGTAAACTTAACACCGGTGGTCCATAACTGTTCCCAGTCAGCAAACATAATGTCATGACCAATATCTTGTGCCCATTTAATCATAGCTGATTTCACCGTTTCATCCTGTGTATTCCATTTCAGCAACAAGTTATACATTCTTGATAAATTCTTAGTATTGGATTCTAACAGTTCAAACTCTAGTTTTGATTTTTCCACCTAAAGCCAATTTTCCTGTCCTGTTTGAAAAGCTCCATTATTTGATAATATTGAAGCCAGTTTTGTACTTTATGTTTCAATTTGTCATAGCTTTGTAGTTTCCACTTATCTCCATCCTGTTCCAAAATAGATACTGTCTCAGCTTGCTCTGATGTACTGTATCCAGGCAGTACAAAAACTTTGTATCACAGTGTAACTTTTCACAGGAAAAGTCAGCTCAGTGTCCTTTCCCTAAAAGGCAGACCGTTTCATGCTCTTAAACAGCTCAGGCAGAAGAGGGTTTTTCTTTTAATTAAGTTATGCAGTTGCCAAAGTCTCTCTTACCTCCCCTCTGCCCTGCTAGCTAGAGGGGAGATCTAAAGTCCAAATGTCAGGTTTGATTAAAAAAAAAGTCAAGTCTTTAATGGATGCAGCTTTTAAGTTCCGTTGCTTTCACTTTCATGCAGTCGGGGGAAGGCAGACTTCCTTAATTTTCACCTCCCCGTTTTCAGCCAAATTTCCAGGTTTTAGTTCCAAATAAAGATTCCGTTTTACTCACGGGTTTTTTCTGTCCAGAATTTACAGGAAGGAATCGGCGCTCTCCGCTAATAGCGACGCGGCTTCACCCTGCGGGCTGGGTAGCGATTCTCAGCACCGCGCTCCCCCGATGTCGTTCCGGAGCCTTTAAAAAGGCTCTTTCTGCGGTAAAGGGGGGCGCTTCTGGTGCCCACCGAATCTCCTCGTTCACAGGCTTCCGCGCCTGTGATTTTAGGGGTCCCCCGCTTGCCGTAGCGGGACAGACCCGAACTCGCAGAGCAGTCCTTCTCCGGAGCTCGGAAAAAGGACCGCCATTAGCGCTGGCGCCGACCGGAAGTCCTCTGCCTTGCTCCATTTGAGAGCTGGTGTAGAGTTACAGTGTTGGACCAGGGAAGGTAAAGGGACCCTGACCGTTAAGTCCAGTCGCGGATGACTCTGGGGTTGTGGCGCTCATCTCGCTTTACAGGCCGAGTTTTTCCGGATCATGTGGCCAGCATGACTAAGCCGCTTCTGGTGAACCAGAGCAGCGCACGGAAACGCCGTTTACCTTCTGCTTGGAGTGGTACCTATTTATCTACTTGCACTTTGACGTGCTTTCGAACTGCTAGGTTGGCAGGAGCAGGGTCCAAGCAACGGGAGCTCACCCCATTGCAGGGATTCGAACCGCTGACCTTCTGATCGGCAAGCCCTAGGCTCTATGGTTTAGACCAAACTCAGGTTCAAATCCAATGTTCAAGTCAGCCGTGAAGTTCACAGAGTGAGTTTGGGCCCATCACTAACCCTCTGTCTAACCTGCCTCATAGGGCTGTTGTGGTAAAACAGGGCAGGAAGAACCACACACACTACCTTGAGCACCTCTGAGTAAGGATTGGCTAAAAATGCTATACATAAAGAAACATAAATAAGCTTTGCTTGCGCAAGTCAACTTCTCCATGAAGAATCTCTCTCTTGCTCCTTATGCAATTCAACTCCAGAATCTAACTTTGAGTATCATGTACACACTCACAAAAAGTATTTCACATCAGGTAGTTGTTACATGAGGTGTGACTTGAAAAGGCATGCTGGGTGGGAGTTAACGTGGCCTAATAGCTAAATTTCTGGATCTTGGGTTGGGAGCTGGGCAAACCATGCTCCAGATTCAGTTCCTCAACTGTACAGTGATGGACCTCACAGATCTGAACAATGATAAAGAGTGTGACCAGAAGTGTTGTGTGTCCTATTTCACTTTTGTACAAAGCTAAAGGGGGAAAATGCTCTGGGGTGTATTAAATTAGAAATGCTGTCATTTTAAGAGCTTGCAAATGGCATTTTTCTGTTTACTAGAATACAATTTTGAAAGAATGCTTTTGTCTTGGATTTCAACAGGAGTGTGCCTAACAAGAAAGAAAGATCCCCAAACAGGCTATTTTTAAGGCATGTAGCTATCTCTTACCAGCTGACTTAGAACACAGACACTTTTCTGTACTGTTTCTCGGTAATATCTGCTTGCCGTACTTTCAAGGCCTTTGAAAAAGAGTAAGAGAGAACAAGCTTTTACTGTATTTTTACACATCCGCTTTTAAGAAACAAATACTCATTTAGCCGCAGCATTCATAAAAACAACTGAGCACTCTACAAAATAAAAAATAGGACAAGCTCTGCCTGTAGGCATGTCGTCTAATAAAGCACTAGGCATGTTATGGAGAAAAGAGAAGGAAGGTAAAAAGAAGGGAGAGAAGACGGGGTCAATAAGAAAAAGCCAAGTGAAAAGATTTGCTTTGAATACAATAATAAAAGAAGAGATCCATCCCTTTTCTATATATTGTCTACATTTTTGGCACCCCCAGTAATCATATCAACTTTAATGTATTTATGAAGCTTCCACAAGTTTACATGTGAAGACATGCGTTAGTTCTGAAAAATAAGGCACTTTTCCTGTGTAAGAGGAATGTTGAAGCAGATGCTATCCTTACAGGGCAAACAATCCTATGCATAGATCTACCCATTTGAGGTCAGTGGAGCTTACTTTCAGGAAAGCATGCATGGGACTGTGAACCTAACACTCACACATTGTAACGCTAAACCATGGTTTTGCATCATGTGTGAACTGAGTCACAAAGTCAGTTGCTTTCTTAGCCAAAATTACATAGCACCACCATATAATTCACCCAAATTGCACAAAAAAGCAAGGGAGTGTAGATGGACAGGTATGTAATGTAAGATCTGTTTTTTAAATGCAGAAATAGTAGTAAGTGAAGACAAGACCAGTAAAATTATAACAGTCACAGTGAAATAAAACAGTAGCTTCATTGCCATGAATCTTTTATTGTAATATCCTGTGATATCCAGTTAGAGATATGAAATTGCTGCAGAGGTTTAACAGACTATAAATGCTGCTGGAGTATGACAGGGCAACAATATTAGAATATAAATGAATAATTTAGGAACTCATGATTTTAAAACTATCATTTCATAGAAAGGAAAAATGGTCTGCCTTTACCAAACATATCAAAACCTTCATAGTCATACCACCTGAGTTACATCTCTTAGGTTAATATCAAATCAGTTTCTCCCACAAAAGGAAGACATATATTTACGGTTCTATTTCTAAACATAAAACTCCTGGAAAACTAATAGTTAATGCTCACGGCCAACTTCCACCTGCTTCATCCAAGTGCTAATTTAAACATGAATCAACAAAATAATCTCTATCAGCTTTTCTGGGTTTATGTAAATAGAGGAGTTAGTCATACAGTAAAGGAGCAAGAGGTTAAAACACATGTGATTATGAATCCCAGGCTATTGGATATTTTGTTGCAGATTAAGTGCTATTTGATAGCTAAATGTATACTAAACTGGACAGAAAGTAAAAAAATATGTTCCAACGTATAGTGATGTTAAATTCTCGAGAATAATCTTTTGGAGAATATTCTCGAGACTGTTCTCGATTAATGAGAGTATTAGAGAATTTTCATTTAAAATAGGAGAATATTCATTTTGATGCACTGAAAAAGATATAATTTTAATGCATTGAAAATTTATTCATGGGTAAACTTGCTCAGATGGCAACCAAAAACTATACAGATACTTTTATTCAATGGGGCAATGCAGTGAATTCACATTCTTTGCTAGGCCTAGGTATTTTAAGTGTACAAAGCATTAAGGCCACTTTCTGTAAAAAAAGCACACTGTATGGCCAAGGGTATAGAATTGCTAAGAATAAGGTCACACCAAAATAGAAAAAAGTGCTATTACATATAGTTGAAATACATATGAATTCAAATGTTCATCAAATTAAATGAATAGCGCTTTTAAAACTAACTAACTAACTAACTAACTAACTAACTAACTAACTAACTGCATTTCAGAACTGCCAATGGTGAATGACACAATGCCCAGTAATGTAACTGGATCAAAAAAATCATTATTCATTACTTACACCAGCAATATCACAGCTTGACTTATTATTTACTAGATTTTTTTAATGTGGGTTGTAAAACTGGTTCTTACATTAGAATTTACAGTTTGTGGAGAATATTCTCTGGATAATATTCTCACCTCACATCACTACCCACGTAACATTTGATATCAAGAGAAGTCACCGTGTAAACAATGAACTTTACTCTTTCAGTTGCATTCATGGTATCAATACAGGCCAGAAAATCTGCAGCTGGATGTTTCCATGTTCATATTTGCACATCATGCTAAACCACAGCTCAGGAGAGCCTTAGGCTCATGCATTCCTCCCCCTTCTTCTCCCATGTGACAGGAAGGAATTCAGAGTCTTTCATTTTGCTTAACCATGGTTTATCATTTCACTCAAACAAACAAACAAACAAACTGTGGCTTATATTAACTATATTTTGTTTGAAACAAAGGCCACTATGAAAAGTTCCTCGACAATTGCCAAATGCTAAGTCCAACAGTTCACAAGAACTAAAAAAAGCTCAAACATATGACAGAGGCTCTGTCATAAAAAGATTCAGGAAGAATATTACCCTGCATCAAGGGCCTCAAAGACTTAATGTTCACATTATACCAATATCTGCACCAGTACTTTGTACAAATGGTCAAATTTGGAGGATGCCAAACTGGAGAAGCTACCTAAGTTCCTGCACAAGACCTTTTTTCTTTTAATGTTCACACAATGGCAATATAATTACCTTAGCTTCAATCTGCCTGTAGCATGAGACACCATACACTGTACTTCGATCTCCGCTTCTTGGTGGCAAGTGAAAAAACACAGTGTCTGAAAGAGGAATGAAATGGTCTTACCATTCACTAAAGGTATCACATAGAGGTATGAAGTTTCTACAGTGTTATCCTGCTCAGTATCACCCTGAGACCGATAGCCTAACATGTCCAGGAAAAACTAAAACATTATGGTGTGGAATAATGGGTAGAACATGGGTCTACATGAGTATTTTATATTACCATGCAGAGCCTGTTCAAGCTATTTTACTGCCCTGGGGGAAATTAATTTTGCTCATCCATCAATGGATCTTGCTCATCCATCAGCAGCGAAAAGGAACTGTATCTTGCAGCTGCTGCTCCCTATCCCATTCCAGGGAACTATAAACCTGCTGCCCAAGAACTGGCTGGTTAGTTGAAATCCACAGGGGAAACTTGGCACCACCACCGTTCCTTGACTCTTGACACCCTGTCAGAATCACCAGGTCACAATGCTGCAATGACAGCAGAAACCACAACCAGCGGCCTTTCTGTCAGCCTGTGATCCAAATTCTGTCAATGAGTCTCTTTGTCTCTCTCCTTTCTTGGCTTATTTCCTTCTGGCCGGTAAGGAGAACTACTCCGGTTTCTAGGCCCTCACTGAAGTTTTGCCTGAGGCTTACCTTTTTTGGCTATTCCTCAACTTCACACCTCCACCACCCGTGGTTTCCTTGGCTTCCAGTTTTTCATTATGCTGCTTACTTTACTGAACTTTCTTTAATCACTCTGTTTGTTGACCAGCCAATCTCTCCAGCCCTGCCCCATAGGAGAGCCTCATCAGCTGTTTCTTGTCATTCTACACTGCCTCTAATCTTCTCCCCAGGGTCTCTCTTTCTAAGGGCTCATCCACACTTCCACTCCCCCCAGAAATACCTGCTCTTCAGCACTGAATCGGAGCAAATGTCAATAGAGTTTCCGCAGACTTCTGTGTGCTCTGATTCAGCAGTAAAGAGGTTTTCCTGGACCCATGCACCCTTCTTTCAGTCACTTTGCCTTCACTCCCTCCCAGGATTTCCCAATCCACCACAGCCACCCGTATGTCAGGTTTTAATCCCAGCCAAACTGACATTTGCTTTCCTCGCAGAAGATGGACAGCAAACAATTTAAGTTTCCTGTTTAAGTGAACACTCCAAGCCCCACCTTCTGCAAACTTAGCTAATCAGTGTTAGAGCCTTTACTGTCAGAAGTGCATCAGGGTAAGCCAAATCTGGCACCTTAAAGCATACTTCCTGCCAAATCCGAGGCAAAAAAGGTAAAGAGAAAAGTTTGCTAATAACTTGCTTGTCAGCTGCTTTAAGAGCTGGCCAGGGTGGGGCTCCTCTCCACCATCTCTCACTCCCACTTCAAATGAAGAAAAAGGCTGCTGACCAAGGTTCTACAGATATAAAATCAAGCTTCTTGTGATCAACTGGATTTTTTGTTTTAAATTGTCAGTATTAATCGGCAAAGAACATCAAGCTTGAATGCCAGCCTTACAAGAAGAAAGCACTTGCTCTAAGAACAGCTGTCTTACACTTTACAGCCAGAGCAGAGATACCCAGGGGAATGCTCTCAACTGAACAGGTCTGATTGCTTTGTTGCTGTGATAGCTTTGCAACCATTACTTTTGCTTTTACCAAAACTATGCACTAATGCCTTGTTGCCATAGGAACAGATTGGCCTGCAGCTGTGTTTTGCCTGTGCATTTGCGACATCTAGGAATGTTTCACTTGGTGCAGTTAGAAGCAGGTAAACATTAACTAGTTAGTGTGTGCCCACTAGTCTATGTACCAAATTTGCGTATGTCTGTTGCCTTGCCTAATTTATTCTCGGCGGAATATTTTGCGCCTTACCTTTGCAGCCGCAGGGGCTAGAAACCTGGTTTCTATAAAATAGAAAAATGCTGAGATTTTCAGGGTGCTGAATTCTTCAGACAGTGCCCAGTTCTGTGCTAGTTCATGTAATCTACACAACACTGGGCAGAACCATGCCAATTGACTCCTTACCTTCTTGATAGTTGTGAGCCCCATCCGGCAATGCTAGGAAAGGCAAGTATTTCCATTCCTCTGGCAAACTGTGACTGTCGTGGCCTTCTCCTGGGATTAGGGGAGGGTAGGAGAACTCAACCTGCAAACAGGCATGTTATGTTCAGTGAATTGCTACATGGGAAGAGAAGACTGACCCACCAAACCCAGCAGCCAGTAACCTGATATCTAAGTGAAAAATGGGTAAGCAACCCCTTTGTGCTTCTTTTCCCTAAAACAAATCATTGTTCCCATCAATCCAGTCAACGTGA